CCTTTATCTTCGTTAACTCTATCGATAGACACATTACAGGACACCAGCCTCTGGCAAGCGTGGATATCCTCTACTTCAGTGGTGTCAATACTAAGGATATCAATAAGGTCCTCATCAGGTAAAACGTAATCAATTAATGTGCTGGTACGACCATTAAAATCACCCACCAACAGATCATTTGAGGTGTCTATAGAAAAGCTTGCTAATTTATTTTTTATTTCAGAAAAAGACTCCTCTGATGCGTATACAGACCCATCCGGAGGTACATACACACAACCCATTAGAGTACAATAGTTATATATATCTAGTTTAACCCACTGTACAAATTCAGAGTCAGATTGTATGAATTTGACAATTTTCATCAGGTGAGATTTAATTATTACCGCAATTCCTCAAGACCTGTGCTTAAGGATCCCCGTCCCTCCACCTAAAAATGTAATGAGGCATTGGTTTTTTTTTCTATGCGCATCGCTATTGCATACCCAAATCATTTCTGAACAATAAACCATACCTTGCGGTAGTTTCTTCAGATTTTTTGGGATATCATGAAATTTCAATTTCTTTTTCGATTTTGTTTTCCAATGGAACAAAATGAAACAAAATACATTTTATTTGATGCAACAATGGTTTATTAGAAATAAAACACATAAAAAATAATAACAATGTCAATATTGATGAACAAAACACAAAAAAACAGAGTAATTTTCTAACAATAATACTAAAACAAACAAAAATGCCCGTTACACGAATCAATAAAATTCCGAGTGCCAATGCAACACGTTTAGGACAACGAAAAAAAATTTAGGTGACAAAAAATAAATATCTTGCGGACCTACTTATTATACAAAAAATTATAAAGATACAAAAAAAATAAACAAAAAAGAGAGACAACTCTTACATTTGTAACAATCATAATTATAAATCTCATATATACAATTTACAACATACAATATAGCACTTTTTATATACGAATATAATACAGTAGGCATCGCCAACCATTAAAATTACTTCAAATAACCAATATAAAACAAAACTGCTCATTGTGTATGAATAACATTATAACAAACAATGTATTTTACTGTGTCATAGCAAAAATGTCACAATGAACAACAATAACAAACTTTCACATACTTTACGCAACAATAATAAATTTCTACATAATAAGCAAATAACATACCATGTTGTGATATAAAAAAAATCACGATATATACAACAATAATAAACATTTACATTCTGAACAAAACAATAATAAACTTTCACATTATGTACAGATAACAACATACCATATTGTGATATGAAAAATATCACACTTTATTATTTTTTCATATTATTCATATATCATATGATATATCATATTATGGCCACAAGTGCATCACGTGTCCACCGATAAAACCGATATTGACTTGGAGCGTGTGATTTTTGTTGAAGGACTGGGTGTTTCTAAAAACAGAATAATAACGTGTCTCGAAACAATGCACCGTCCCACTTCCGAAGCGTTTTTATTGGGTTTTTTCAGATTGCTTACATTACTGTTTTTTAAAATAATAAAACAATTGTAGCCTTTAACTTCGGTCAATACCTGGATATATCGACCCGAGAAAAGATTATTAACCTCGGACTGCGTCCTCGGTTAATATATCTTTATCGGGTTGATAAATCCAGGTATCGACCTCAGCCAAAGGCTATAATTGAATAATATAGCAATAATAAATTTTGTCATTCTATAAAGATAACAACAGATATCGTGGTTTAACAAATATCACACTATACAACAATAATAAAATTTACATTATGTACATTAACAACATACGATATTGTGGTATAAAATTATCACATTGTAAAAATAACACTTTTGTATGTGAAATAAAAAATTAACTTGAAATAAAGGCCTATTGGGTATATACATGTAATAACAAATATAGAATATAATCCTGACTATGGTGATGTATAAAAAATACTTCCCATGCCAAAATATCTTTCCTGTCGGGTATTGCACAACCGTAGCCTATAGTACCGCATTCCCTACAACCTTTCTGGTCCAGGTATTCAGATAACATCGTGAGTTGAACCACTCGTCTACCCTGCGACCAGCTTAAAAAGTTATTGGTGTATTCGTGATCACTAGTACTGGAAGGATCCTCATCGGACGTCGGTGTCGGCTCATCAGTAAAATTGTCAGTAAGCTTAGTAGGGGCCTCAGTAGCCAGCGTCACTTCAATGTGTGAACGAGTGTCACTTTGTTTCGTCGCATAGTCGTGGTCTAGCAGTTGATATTGGACATCGTTGTTGTTATTATTGTCAGTTAATGCGTTTAGTTTTCGTTTAAAACGGTCGATTTCACGTCGGGTTTGCATGTCGGCCATCACTGCCACCACGTTGTTTACATCGTTACGACAGCTTTTTTTACCCACACTTTCGCAATTGGAGATTTTCAATGCAAGGACACAACTCTGTAGTCGAAACGTTATTCAAACGAAATCTATTCAAGGGAAGATAACACCATTGTCGACATGGTAATCAGGGGCAGTTGACTCTAACACTGAAAAACGACAGTCGAAATCTTTAGTGTTTTGCTCCGGCTGGGACGAGGATCCTTAAATTTAGATCTATTTTTCAGGTGATAACTATACCCGCTAGGAACCTTTAATTCATCAAACTCATCAGTTTTAGACTCAACGCATACAAGTATATCATGTTCAGTTATCAAGTCATGAAAATCAGGGTTCAACAGTTTCTGTTGGATACCACAAACATTTACACAACTAATGGAGAGTTTCTCAGTCAACGTACCCGAGGACCTGGCCTATGTGCGCTGTCCATTGTCCCTGGGCCGGATGCAGGTGTACCTTGCTCGTGCTGGGGTCGATATGGTACACCGTTCACGTACAGCGTGTCGTAAACAAGTTTCACCCGTTCACCACTACGTTTGAGTAAGTCCCTCATTTTAGGTAGAAGCGCGCTGCGGCGATTAGCAATTTCCTGGGGAAGTTGTTGAAAAACAGAAAACTGACGTTTGTCTCTCAACTTAACCGGGACCTAGCTGTTCCATGATCGTGTCGCGGTCACTAAATCGCTCAAATACGGCTATGATACCCCTCGGTCTCCGGTCTCTCCTTGGTCTGAGGCGATGAATATTATGAAATCTGATGTCATCCGCATTGTCAACTTCTAACACATCCTTCATGATTTTTTTAATACCACCTCGGTGTTCTCGCCTTCATTATCTTCGATACCGTTGAAGATTAAATTGTATTTCATTGAGTGAGCCTGTAATTTCAGAAAATCTTCTTTCAAGTTAATGTTTTCCTGCTCAATAGTATGGTTTTGGTTTTCAAGCTCCAGTACCCGATTTTCAATATCGTGATGATGGTTTTCCTCCATTTCGAGTGTAGCGCCCTGACGTCTGACAGTTTCCTTCACAATTTCAATTTCAGTTTTCATTTCACGAAGAGTTTTCTCAAAACTTTCAAACTTTGACATTACTTGGTCCAGCATGTCCAGTTCACCTGATCGTGTACCGAGTTCAACGCTCATTTGTTCAACTTTACCATTTAAAATGTTAAAATTATGCAGCATCATGCTCATCGCCACCCCAGGAAGTTTGCCCGGGGCCACGGGAGATGGGCTTAGCATGGGCGGGTATCCGATAGGTGTACTTGCATGGGGGATATCCATTTGGAAAAATGGCGGAAAATGCACATGCGATGTTTGTGGGTGTATTGGTGTCGTGTTTTCCTGAGGGCAGGGGGTGGGGGTACCCGTGGTAAGTGGGTCACAAAAAGTTTGTTGTTGTTGAGTATTTCGAGTGGAGCTTCCAGTGTGAGAACCCTCTGAGACTCCGGCGTGCTTTCAGTCGGACTACCTGGTACGTGTGTCTTGCTTGGCGGGGTCACTCCAGATTTCGACCATTTTCCAGGGATTCGTTTCCGTTAACGACCTTTTGCCATATACAGTTCATATCACAAAGTTTTGAAAACGTTTCCTGTCCATAAAATCAGTTAAAATTCATTTTTTTTTACCAGCGATACACGACCCACCTGCCATCCATTTTGTCATGACGTCATTCATATATCACGTACATTCCAGGTAGTGATATTAAGATGACGTCATACTGTACACTAAGATTAACGTGACGTAATAATGTGGGTCAAGGTTACGAATAGTAGATTATTAATCATGTACATTGTCGATGATTATGTTAAGTTGACTTAACACTGGACGCCAATATTTCAAACAAAAAACTCGTGTATGGAGTTACTTAACATGACGTTATACTGCGGATTAAGGTTGTTAGTGTAAACCATGTAGTAATTCTATTTCTGCTTCGTCCGATTACATGTGTGTATAGATAATATAAGACGACAGGGATGGTATACGCATACATAGTTATGCCTACTCCACATAAAACTCAGCGCAAATATAGAATTGAACAAGGTCATCATAAGATGACAATTTATTATAATGACATCATGACACAAACGATTAAAATGATGTTTACTGTCAATTTACATCCTTAGGTGGGGATTCGACAGAATTGCGCGAAGCCAACATTTGTTTCAGGAATGGCCAAGATTTTTTTTGGTATATACGGTATATACCGAAAAATAATTGTGCACTTTGCATAAATCCGCGAAGCGGTTTATGCAAATAATGCACTTTTTTTTGGTATATACCGTATATACCAAAAAAAAACTTGGTCATTTTTTTATAATTTAATTTCAAAAAAGTCGAAGAACACGTTAATGCACAGTTAAAGATTTATTTAATTTTTACGTTAACTAAACAATTGCGCTAAAAAAAAGCTGCGTTGTAATTTTGCATTCTGAAGTGTGAAAAGGAGTTCCGTCATCAATTGTTTTTCTTTTTAGGTATATACGATATATACCAAAAAAATATATTATGGGGGGTGATAGGCAAAATTAAATTACATATAAATCACAAATCGAAACAAACAATATTTAAGGGTGGCATGTAAGGGTGGGTTTTTCAATAAGGCAAATTTGGTATAAAGTTCTAAAAAGTTGCTGCAATAAAATGGCGCCGTTGAAAATTTTACTTAAACAAATGAAGAAAGAGGCCTTCAGCCAATCAGATTGTAGCGTGGGATGTTAGCAAATCAAAAACCTCAAAACAACGGAGGCACCAAAAAGGGTGAAGAGGCACCCTAAGGGGCCTATGTTCGTAGCAACCTTTTAACAATACCTGTCAAAAAGTCTAATGGAGGGTTTATGTGTCGCGACATCAAATCAGCTATGTATATAGCTTGCATATACATATACATGTGTTAAGAGTGAAACCCATTAGAAGTATAATATTAACTTAATTTAAAAATTGCGTACAATAAAGCATGATAGAAATACAAACTGATATGAAACTGAACTACATTAATACCATCTGATAAGGTAGGCTGGAGACCAAATATTGAAGTATATGCATACAGGTGCGAGATAAAGGCAAAATGCATATAACAATAAATGAAATAATAGTCAGGCAGGGAACTGTGAAAAGTTTTCATAAGGGAAAAGGAAATCAAGAGACAGTGACGGATCCAGAGGTTTTTATGGTGCCTCAGGAAACCACCCCACCCTGATAATTTTCTTTAAAAACCATGAATTTTCACAATTTTCCTCAATTTTCCCCCACTTGGAACCCCCCCAGATAGGTCTCTGGCTCCGCCACTAAGAGAGATACTGAAGAGTAAACGAAAAACGCAATTCGAACTAAAAGTCGATAAAACTTAGCAAAATATGAACCCAAACAAAATCAGATAAATCGTACTAAAAAATAAGATGACAGATTATAGGTCCAATAGATCATCATTCATAATCAAAAGGTAACAATGACTTGTATAAGAAAGATAATATGTTATCTAGCTATTTCTTTCCTACAAATGTCTCACACGCATTAGGTGTTTACGTTCTTGCTTTTAAGATGTCAGTAATAATCCAGTGACCTTATGTACCACATCCTAAATACAGTTTACAGATAAATTGACAACAAATCATTTCCGGTTTTTCTCTTCAGCAGCGATATATTTCAACGTCATCAATACAGATGTCTGATTTCGTTTTGGGACCTCTCACCCCTTCTATGACAATCCAGAATTCCTGATTTTGGGCGGGAATTATCTTTGTTGTTTCTAGCCAATTCGTTCCTTGGTCACCACTGGCAACGATATACGTGTTGGTAAATATCCCTGATGAGTCCTGAAATATAAATAAATAAAAACGTAGATTCAACTGAACTCCCGTGAAATTCGTGCTGTTATCAAGTCCCAAAAACGAATTTGAGATTCATGCTGTTATCAGGTCCCAAAAACGAATTTGAGGTCTTATTTATGTAACCCTCTTAGCCCCAAAGGCTGGGTAAGAACAACTTTAACGACTTTTCAAGGTCTCTTGTATTTATTCTCTCCAAAGAAACCTGTTAACAAAAAGATACGAAACTAAGACTCAGTTACAATATACATATACAGTTACTTTCACTTTACGAATACGATGGACATGACTACATATATATTATCACAGGTATTGTTATATCATTACATGAATAAACACTATGAGTAAAATATATTATGAGACTTACCAGGGACCTGGGAAGGATATACACTGTCCGTCCTGCTCGGCAGCATAGTGTGAAGTGAATCAGGGTGGTGACGTGCGCGTACATATAGGACACACGGGGTGGCGTGAGTATGTAAATACTCGTGCAGATCACTCTCTCACAACACTCCACGTTCAGGTTATGACACGAGTACGGGATAGACAACACGTGGACACTGTGTGACTTAGTGCAATGAGTACACCCTGTTACA